TCATTACTTTAAGGCTTTCTGGTTCATAAATCTTCACCTTTTTTGTATTGTTTACTTCGGCGTAGAAATGCTCGGGCAAAGTGTTAAGCTCAGCCGGCTCATAATTTTCTATTTCATCAATAATTTCCTTACCTACGCACCAATTCTTCCAAAAAGAGAGCCAAAAACCAGTGCTTTTCGCAGTGTTTTCGTTTTTAGAGCAGTTTTTCAGCTCCTCTACAATTGTTTCGGTCGCAAAAGTAAATGTGCTGCAATCGCCAACCATTGCGGTTTTTGCTCGAAACTGGTCCGCAAACGGATCCAAATTTTGCGCCATTTAGATCACGCATTTGATTGGTTCTCAGTGAGTTCCTTTGTTTATTAGCCAATCAGAATGTCACGTTTGTTACTCTTTTCTGCACTCAATTACCTTTTTTCTGCACTGTGTTACCTAAAAACTGCATCCCTCGTAGCCAATCACAATCGAGAAATTTTTTCATGTATATTATTAAATTTAAAAATCAATTTTAAATGTGTTGGTGATGCAACTGATTCTTCCTTTGGTGAGTCCACTTCCTCGAAAACTGATCAGCGCTAATCTAGGGTTATGCGGAATTTTAAACAAAATCCCCCTTCCGAAAACACATAACTGGGCTTACAAAGTATTGATGAACGCGTACGTTTAATTAACCCAAAAATGACCACTCAGAAGAGTCTATGAGAAACTTTCTCGCCACTGTATCTAGAGCACGAGATAAAATTGTAAACACAGTGGGTTTGATAGCAATGGTCACTCTTTTTAACTTTTATAACCGAGCAGCAGTCACTTTGTCTTCCTATACATGTAGTCATGAATGCAAATGCTATTGTGGATCTACCGTCTCTTTCCATGCACAGTCAGGACGTTCACATACAAACAGCACTTGACATAAACAGCATTCATGCCCGAAACTTAGAATTATGACTGAATTCAGTAAAAAGAGAGAATACTAGCAGTGTATTATATCCAGGGTTTTCTCGGAGCAATACAGGAAGCAATTAAGGGGACTAGTATGAGAGATTAGTACTGACAGCGATTTTACTTAAACCGTGAAATAGGTAGTAGAATTAATACTACCGCACTATTATGCACTATTTCTATTGTCAACTCTTGTTTATCGCTCGCTATTTTGCACTATTAATATATTTGTTAGTATCTGTTTAACTGTCCAAGTAAAATCACTCTTCTGTTACAAAAAAAAACTTGGTCTTCCTTCGGTTGAACATGAAGTAGTGGTTTTATGAACTAAAAATTAATGATGTAATAAAGAAATAAAGGGCTGATGGTTCAGGTAAAAGCAAATGAACGGGCGTATGATGCGAGTTCTAAATTGAGGTGGTTTAATTAAATTCTGAATTTTAGGCTGCCCCATTTTACACTTAATCCCGCCATAACTTCGATTGGTCTCACCAGGCGTTCGACTTGTCACGGTAAAATGAGCCCATAAATTAAAATTGTTACATGAGAAGGAATTAAATGGAAAGTGGTCGTTTGTCATTTTAACCAGGCCTAATAGGAAGTTAGTGTAACGGTCTTCCACTTTACTTAATAGCTGTAAACACTTTGTAAGAACGAATCAAGCAACCCGAAAGGCGTAAGTTTTCCAGCTATGCCTTGCTTTCTGCTAGATTTAAAATCGTAAAACACTCGTTTACAAATGCTGATCCACCTCTCCATGTGCTGCCGTAGGAGCACTGTTTGGCCAATTTTGGCTGCATAATAAACACAGGATTTTTGCAATGTCTTGGTAGTTAAAACACTAAGATACAGACAGCGATCATTGGGACTTGCTGGCTGCCTGAGGTTATACTATTACTGTTCTTGGACCAACTATCTTTCCGTGCTTACCACTACCCAGCTGGCAACACGGAAGGATAAATTTGTTTTATTTATTTATTTACTCACTTAATCATGTAACTATTTATTTATTCTACACCGACGTCGGGATGGCGGACATGATTTTCAACTTAATTTACTGTAAGTAATAAACGGAATCGTGACAGCACCAGGATTCCTGGCCGAGAAAACATCAGACCAAGCTGCCGAACCTGCACTAAACTTCCCAATAGAAAAGAAATTAAATTATCTCTCGCTTTTATATTTTACTCTTTTATCCATTGACTCCTACATGTATTAAAAGATGCTTGGGAACAATGTAATACTGTCCGGGAAGAAGCTCCAACATGGGCATTTAATTTTAAACTTTGACGAGAATATATTTAATTGGAGGTCGCTGAACTAAAAAGGACGTGGGATGAAGGGTTTGGAAGCTGATGGAGACTAGGGTGGTAATTGAAATTCGACATTTACGAGAATTTTAACGTTTGGTACTCGCTGAGTATTTTGACTATGAAGTACCTTTTTGAGTTTGTCTCACTAATGGAAGCTCGTAGAGAAATTGAAATTCGACGGCGTTTACAATTCTAAGCTAAAAGGTACTCCGTTCAAGATAAATGAGAGTCATTTGGGCATAATAAGCGGTGCTCGCTGAGTAAATATTTGACTGTTGCTCACTAATGGAAGGTCAAGAGACTATCCCTTTAAAAACACTCATTAACAGCACGGAATGGAGAGAAAATGTTACGTAACTTTCATCTGCCTTAGTATGTGATGTTGTACCGTATACGACAGGGAATATCTAACAACTTTTCAATAAAGTAATTAAACCGGCTAACACTATATGAATATAGACTATTTCGCCGCCCAAACTAACTCTTGCAATCATGGTTCACCGGCGTAAACCCATTAGGATGTTACCAAAACACTTTAAAACTTAATAGATAACATGTTTTCATTGCAAAATTAAATTACCATTACATTGAAGATGTCTTGTAATCCTGCGGCACATCTGATGCAGGTGTTCACCCAGCATTCCGACTCGGAAAGATTTATTACGTCGTTAAACCAAAAGGAAGTTCGGTCACTCTATTTCTTTTGTAAATCCAGCTATTTTGTTCACTAGTCAAGTGGCACAATTGATAGCCTGCGAAAACATCCGTTTCTCCTCGCTCTTTGCCGCGGATGTTTTCGCAGGCTACACAATTGCAATTGAGAGAATTTATCTTATAAGCTCATTATACTCATTCTAAGCAGGAAAGGTTGTTAAGGCAACAGGGAGTTGTTTGATCTAGAGGAAAAGTTTTGAAAGCATGCAATTAATGGATCTCTCAAATCAGTTAAATTTTGGACGCATGTCGTTTCAAATAATTGCTGCCATCAATTGTTATCACTCTTCGAATTGTCTCGAACGAAGAAGTTCGTTTCAAACGTAGCCGCTATTAAATATACGACGTGCATGTGTTGACTGCAAGACAGCTTGCTATTTCCAGTTAAGACTTAACCAGTCCAGATAGATTAAATAACATACTTTACTGAAAACACAGATCGAAAACATCTTCAAGGTGAGTAATTATAGCAAAGCATTCCCGGTTTCAGTGTACATGATAATGTTGCTGAAATGGAGGGACGCCTTTCGCCATCGAAAACGAAATGAGTTATGTTTTGAGATCGTGTTGCACTTCGGCAACAACGCTGACTTTATATCTGAGAATAGACGAGTTGGTACACTGAACTTAATAATGGTTTTGCAGTTTTCATTTCGTAAGCTGATAACGTCGGTTATCCTGGCTTTCTTCCTTGTTATGTTTGCTTTTTTAATTGAAAACAAATTTTAAAAAATAATGTCGTTCTGCAGTGACACCTTAAACGCCCGAGACCACTTCCCCGGTACAACGATTCTTGTACCAAGTGTTCAGTTTTTTACATGCATTTTTTATTGGCAGTTAAATTCACGTCACCAAAGTGGTGCGTCTTCTACGTTTCCGAGCAAAAGCCTGACAAAGGGAATAAACTCCGACTTTACAACGCAAAAAAATCAGTAAATAATTATGGAAATGTAATTGTAGTCGATGAAATACTCTGGGGTAGACTTGCCTGAAGCCGTTCTAAACACTTACATCAGATGTTTCCCACACGAAAATTTAACAATGATTACGTAACAAATTTTAATAATTTAGAAAAAGTTAACCTCAAGACATCATTAGCGGGTCAGCAGTTGAGCCCCAGGTAGGCAGGCTCCTGCGCGGTGGCCGCCGGGTCTGCAAGGGCAAGGTAGCCGAAGCACCGACAAGGTTTGGTTAGATACAGCACGAACAAGCACCATGTTGAACAGTGAACAAGCACAGTTGTTCCGAGCAGGGACATGAGGAATTGTACATGTGAACAGACGCTCGGGATATTTCGCGGTAGGCTTACATGATGAACTAGTCCAGCTTTGCCTTCTTTGCTTTGCTGATCTTTGCAAATCAATGTGAATATTCACGACGCTGGTTTCTTCTTGCACCGCACACTAAAAATATTCAGTCATGGAATACTTACCACAAAACTTACTTACCTATCCGAGGGCGGGAGAAGTGGGATCAGATTGCAGCTCGGCTTCCTGGCTCTTATTTTTGCATGCCGGGTGAAACGGAGGGAAAAAACTCGTGCAAGTGCAAAAAAATGTCATTCAAGGGTTCAGACCTGAATATTTCCGCTCGGATTGATATCCGCCATGGAGTAGGCAAAACGTCCGATTACATGCACAAATTTAATCAATAGATTTGTATTGTTGGGCTCCAACTTTGAACAGGGACGCCGATTACGAGCTATCCGCGATCTTCACGTGCGGTTTGTCAAGTGATTCAGGGTATAAGTCACGTGACAAAACGTAACACTCCATCACCGTTCCGAATCGAAAGCTTGTGTATGCTTAAAACATTTTGGAATTTAAAACCTCGTTTACTTTAAACACCTTTCCATTGTTTAAGAACAAGTCCAACCTTGGAACAAGTCATTTAGGAACAGGCACTTCAAGCTTTTGACAATGACCGTTTTTCTCCATAATTAAACATGATATCTAGTCTTACCTCAACATTTTCTTTTACTTTAGGCAATGTCATATCAGGACAACTATACTTCAGACTTAACAGGAACACTTTCTTATCAAAGATGCCTCATTCCTGGCCTTCCAGAAGATACGGAACACACAATATATAATGTAACAAACTTTATTTTCGTTCCTGTAGTTATGCTCTTGGCTTTTCTTTCACTCACAAGTAACTCCCTTATAATGGCGGCTCTGATACGAGTAAAATCTCTTCGGCATCCTTCACTATTGCTACTGGGCAGTCTTTCAATAACCGACATATTGTTTGCAGTGTATGCCTTGGTTGACGGTTTTGCAAGATACACGTACGAAGATTTTTGCCCCGAGAAAATGGACGATTTGGAACGTGGATTTGTCGTTTTGTGTAACATTTCAACCATGGGTAACCTAGCGTTTATCAGTAAAGACCGGCATTTAGCAGTTAGCAAGCCTTGGTGGTACCGTACTCACTTGAAGCGATCACGCGTTCTTAAACAATCGTCAGCGATCTGGTTTTATAGTTTCTTTATGTCAGGAATGATTTTTGCCTCATCGTATTTTACATTCATTCATTTTCCAGTCCTATCAATAATTAGCCTGTCCTACATAATATCTATAGTCATTATGATTGCCTCTTATGTTGGAATATTCATCGCAAACAAAAGCCACAGACACACCATGCAGCAGCACAGGGGCCAGCTGTCTGCCGTCTTAGAGCAAGAGAAGAAATTGGCCAACACTGTAGGTTTGATCGTAATCACACTCTTTTTTACTGTCTTACCAGGACTTATTCTACCTGTGATTCTAAAACTTCTTGGTTTCTCGCCCACTGAAAATATCCCTTTTGGTCCTTTTCTTACCTTTTTGCTGACTCTAAATGGATTTTTGAATCCGTTGTTAAACTATGGCAGAAATGAAGGTGTACGCAGAGCAGTGCGAGGCTTAGTCGGATGCTCCTGCATTGTAACTCATAGAGTTCAACCTTCCACCAATAATGGCCGCAATCAAGGAAGTGGGACAGTTAATCCTACTTCCAATATTGCGCAGAATGCTACTAATATGCAAGTGTTAGTTGGGCAGCCTTCGTCCCAAACTCAGGATTAGGAAATAGCCTAATGTGGGACCAGGCGCTCGTTTCTCGAAAGTCCCGGCCGGTAACTTTTCGGGCTCGGAAAGCTGGGGACTTTAATTCTTTGCAGATGATATGGTAAAGCTATCAGGAAACAAAACGCAATGGACCCCTTGTATTTGTATTTGTATTTTATTTTTACTCCATCCTATAGATAATACATTAGTTGTATAATATCAATAAGTAGAAGGTTGATTAAACTACGTGTACATAATAAAAAAAAAAGAAAGCTAGCATGGAGAAGGGCACATTATAGAAAACTAATTATAGCCCTTTAACAGGATTGACTTTATTCTAATATAGCTTTGTTATTCATTAAAACACAAACACGCAAGATAATATTTTTTAAATGCCTTTTTGAACAGGATTTTGGATGATTTATTGCGAATAGAAAGGGGGACATCGTTCCAATAGTATTTTCCAAAGACGGTAGGGCAAAACTTTCGAATATTAATTCTTGAGTGGGGAATGTGTAATTGCTGAGCAGATGCACTTCGTGTAAACTAATTATGTTGCTCAGATACAAGAAATAATGGAAAATTAGTCGGGAGAACCCTGGGGAAAAGGTTTTGTGATCCTACGCCACTCAGAGTACACGTGACGAATTTCAATAACCATATGGAATTACACGTATACATAACTTAGAAATTGCGTGCAATAAATTCACTGCTTAAATGTAGATGTTTCAGGTCCTATTCTCGAAGAGACCCCCTTTGGTTTAGCTTCCGTACACAGCGGCTACCACTAAATCTTTGCATTTCTTGGGTCGTGTTCGCTTATCCGGGAAGGTTCGACCTAGCTAATTTCAATGTGGACGGCACGTATAGCCCTATTATTTGATTTTGTTTCTGGGGGGACTATAATTCTTTTTTGTTCTTCCATGCAAAAGCATAAAAATTCTCTACTTCTGATCCAAAACTCAATAGTTCACACTGAGCCGTTTTTTCAGTTGTTTTGTGTTTGAATTTGCTAACAGATAGTAGGGGAATGATCATCTGCGTCATTCATTCATTGCAAAGTTTTCGTTCAAAAAAAGTTTCCTTCAACAAGTTGTTTCTGGTGGATTGTAAACTAAATAAACCTTTTTTAAGTTATCTTAAAGTTTTTTGTAATAATGCAATTAGAATTAACTGCCGCGTTGATTATGTTAATAAAACAATTAGTTCATGCTTTAGCTGGGCGTATATCGAGATAAGAAGCGTTTGGAAAGCATTCAAGTGGCTAGAGTTGCTGTTTTCTTTTTGGTGCTCTCCAAACATCCCTCGCGCTCTTTATTTCTCAAAATAACGCACGAAACAAAACACGAAACACGAAAAATGACGCACGAAACAATCGTTATGGTAAACACTGATGTGTATGTCGAGTACTTTAACGGGCTGCTGGACGTACGCACAGGCTGCCTACTCTCACGATTAAGCGAAAAGTGCTTAGAGAACTGGCTTGCTGCGAGGCTATTGCTTACTCTCTTTCCCTACCATCTAATTTCATCTTCACTAAATCTAATGTAATTATATAAAGCTTTATTCATACTGAAAAGCCGAGTTAAAGTGTTCTGGGTGTACTGGATGGGTATTAGCTATCAGCTTGTAAATCTAAAGTGTAGATTAATCTATTCAGTCTAATAATTAAATCTTACACGCACAAGCTCAGCCGAAACGTTTTAGCTCAGTAACGAATATTTTTCCCTAAGAAACTATTATTGGAAAACATGCTGGCTAGCTGATTTTTCTAAGCGAAGCTATCACATTAAAAGAAACCTGCTTCGTAATAAAAGTCGCGGAAGAAATCTGATCCTCGAATGGTGTGTCAGTCTCTAAACCTGCGACACTAATCTTAGGTAAAAGCACATGCAGACTGTTTTTAAAGCTATTTGGAAATGCAAGTTGATATTAATTTTTAAACTTCGGCTCGAGCTCGCTAATGCGCAATCGCAAACTATCGTTTTCTCCTTTTATAATTTGTATTTCTTCTTCTGTCTTGTTACAAAGTATTGTTTCATTGCTTATTTTTTCTTGCAAAGCTCGAAGATCCTCATGTAATTTATGTATCTTAATTTGGTTCAATGCCTCCATTTCCTGGGCAAATTGCAAGCGTATTGTTTCGTTATTTTTTCTCTCTTCCTGCAATCTTTCACTCAGTTTGTCCCACCGACTTTTCTCTGCCCCTAACTCCGACTTAAGTGTTCTAGCTTTTGCTTCTTTAACTCTTAGCTCCTCAGAGAAAGCTTTTGTATCTTTTTCTAACTTTTCATTTTTCTTCCTCTCATTTTGAAGGTCGTTTATCTTGATTTCAAGACGCGTGATCGTCATTTTAAGAACTGAGAAGCTAGCCCGCAGGATTGGATCTTCATCGCACTTGTCAAACATTAGTTCTTCTCCTTCTTCCAAGCCAACAAACCTAAGCTTTCTAATTTCCTCTTTCAAAAATTGTAAAAGAGTTTTCAAGATTTTCTTTTCAACATCGTTACCGTCCGGAAAATCCCCAAACACAGGAGTCTTAAAATCTCTGCACAGGACTACCAGGTTTCTAACTGTAATGTAAGTTGAAATTAGATGTTGAATACGCATCAAATTAGTGATTCCATCTCTTTCTAATTGTCTCTCCTGAAGTTTTGTAAATTGTCCAGCTTCTGTCGTTTGGTTTCTGAATAGAGAGTTGTCAACCAAGGGGTTTGTTTGCGGTTTGTTTTCGTTGAAAGCTTCTTCAGCTGGGGTACTTGAGCTCATCGAACCAACGAACTGAAAGTTATGTAATTGACCAGTTGTCGTAGTGTCATTATTGCCAGTTGGACTTTGCCAAGTTTTTCCATTTGTTTTCTGTATTTCATTGCTGAATTGTGTCTGTGGGCAAGGGTTTTGAAATTGCCGTGGAACACCAAACCGTGTCGTCTGAAATGGCAGCTGCTGATTTCCAGAAAATTGAGGATTTCTCCCTGTGAAAGGTGGATTTCTCAAAAATCTTGACTCGGCGCCTCCATGCTGGAGAGTTTCTCCGAACTGCCATTGTCCCGGATGCAATGTGGCGTATGGGGAATTTCCAGGATATTGTGCTGTATATTGATTAACTCCTGAGTGATTGATGGGAAAATGAGTCATTCTCGGACGCTGTGTTAAAAAAGGATTGGGTCCCGGATGTCGCGAGTAACATTGATTGGTTCCTGGGTGATGAGCTTGCAGCGGATGATGAATACCGTGAGGTCGAGTTTGCCTTTCAGGGACCCCCTGATGTGTGCACCTGGTTCCATTGTTTGTTACCATTGCATGATGGCTGTAGCTCGTATTCAAGTAGGTATTGAAATATCCCTGCTGCTGAAACGCCGACATGAATGGCTCCTTGTTCATGTTGCCTACGAAGAAGGCAAAATCAATTAGAGCCTCAAGAAAGTATACGGAATGCTATTGATTTCCTGTATCTTACCTTGTAGTTCAGCTTTCGCTGCGATTGAACTCTGGTTAACTCATGTCTATGTTGTTCTTTTAAAAAATTCAGTGCGATCATAACATCATACCTTCAGTGCGTAAACTCAGTCTCTAGATCTCCTAAGTTAGTCACCACAGCTTTAACTTCGATGCCTTGGAGGGAAGCAATTTCACTGCAAGGTTTTGTTTCAGTGGAGTTAAGTTTGACTGCTTTCTTTTAAAACCTCGCGCGTGTGTCGCCATGACTGAGAATTCAAATTGAGCTGGCGAGTTAAACGGTTCTTTTCTGGGCGCGCGCAAATCTCTACGTTATTTGCTTCGCTAATTTAAAAGGTCTAGATAGCAGCAACAATATAGATAGTCGTATAAACATAACAACTTTCTTTAATTTTCCAGACATGTTTCGACGGTACATCGGTCATCTTCAGTGTTACATATTTTGAAATCGCCGTTGAATTTAAAGCGCGCGCGATCTTACAAAGTTCGTTACATTGCGTTGTCAATATTGCGTACTAAAACAAAGTTAAATGAGTGACGCTTAGTTCTTTACAGGGAGAGAGTCAGGTTAATGTGTTTCACCTGCTGGTTGAGATCGGGCTTCTCCCATTTTATGAACATGGATTCCTTAAGCTTCACTTGGTACTTAGTGGCTGCAGAGTCCAGGATCTCGAAGCAATCCGGTGTGCAGGATGCTCTACAAAACTCTGAACCCTGCAGATGTTTAAAAACGTTCGAAGACCTGTCTGAAAGTAAGTGCTCGCGCACTCGTGTGGAGAAGTGTCGGCTGGTTTCACCAACATAACAAGCATTACAACTTGCACACGAAAATTTATAGACCACACGCGTGCGTAGCCCCTCAGGGACAGCATCTTTCACATTAAAAAGATTCCTGACTTTGAAAGTAGTAAAGACTAACCTTAAATCAATAGGTTTACATAACCGGTTAGCAAGTTTGCGTATACTCCTCTGTGCCGTGACTGAGAAGTGCCCAACGTAAGGGATTTTGAAGAAGAACTTAGGCGTTTCCTGGGGCTCGACTCCTGAATAGGGCTGTGTTTTCCCTCCCTTGACTGCTGTCTGAATATATTTAGAAATATATTTGTTGATAAGGTTTTCAGGGAAGAGATTCCTCCGCAGAATGACAGACAATTTTTGAAGGTCAGTATGGAACCCCATCCAAGTGTTGTTTATCTTAAAAGTTCTATGAATCAAGGTTTTGATTAACCCCAATTTGTAGGTAAAGGGGCAAAAACTCAGATAACTAGTGAGCAGACCTGTGAAAGTCTTTTTCCGGTAAACGGTGGTTGCACTTTGGTGTGGGTCAGTGTTGTTGATTAGAACATCTAGGAAAGGTAGAACATGGTCAGTTTCCCGCTCCATTGTAAAGCGTATATTGGGGTGTTGATTGTTGATGTAATCGAAGAAAAGGGTTGCATCCCGTTCAGAGTGGAAAAGGCAAAATGTATCGTCTACGTAGCGACGATAGAATAATACCTCTGAATCCCCGTATTGATCCAACCATATATTCTCATGGTGACCCATAAAGAGATTGGCGAGAACAGGGGCAAGGGGGGACCCCATGGCTACACCATCCACCTGATCATAGAAGTTACCTTTGAACAGGAAGTGAGTTTCCTTGGTAGCAAACTCAAACAGCATTTTGAGCTCATTTTTACTAAGTTTAAACTTAGTAAAAAATGTAACGAACTTTGTAAGATCGCGCGCGCTTTAAATTCAACGGCGATTTCAAAATATGTAACACTGAAGATGACGGATGTACCGTCGAAACATGTCTGGAAAATTAAAGAAAGTTGTTATGTTTATACGACTTCGCTAATTTACAACAACGCAGTACACATGCCAGACGGACAGATTTCCTGTTTTGTCACGAAGTTTCTCTTTATATTTTCAAGGCTTTTAATTACAAAAAGGATCCTTATGTAATTCTTCTCCGCAAACGCTAGCGGGGAGGCAAAGAAGGAGAGAAGAAAAGAGTAGGCAACTCTTTTTCGCTCCGTCCCCACTCTCGGTCCAGTCTCTCTCTGTTGCCAGTCTCTTCTTTCCAGTTTCCCCTCTTCTCGAATAGAACCACAAGGTAGTCAGAGTAACCTTGCCTGAATTTTCATCGTTTTTTTTTTTCTAATCTTACCTCGGAATTCAAAGATTGTTAGTAGGGTGTGTTTCGATAAAAGTTGACTTGTAAAGACAGGTTTACACCAGGATACGGCAACAGTACTTACAGGAAGTAAAAAGAAAAAACGAAAACGGAATGAAGCGTTGGAAAGTGAGATGCAACGTTATTTTATTCTACAAGACTGATGGGTTGTAGCGTGCAACTCAACCACCGCCGTAAAATAACAGTTAAATAAATAGAACTCAGTTAACTGCATTTAAGAAGACCATGACTTACAAAAACGAAAGAAAGGTGTTCTCTTAACACACTGTCCTCTATCGTCCTTTCTTTTTTTCCAAAAACTGGACTGGAATTGTCATTGAGCCTTCGATTTTAAGAGTTTACTGTTTACTTTTGAGTCTGTATACTTTATCACGCGGAATTATGCCAGAGCGTGAAAGTGTAAGTAAAACCGCTGAGTTTTTTTTTTGATATCGAAGACGTTCTTCCTTTCATTTTCCAAGTTTGCATTTAATGTTTCAGGCAGTAAAAGGATATTTTAAAGCACTTTCACTCCTCGACCAAGTCATGAGATTTCTAGTTATTTTGACTTTTAAACGGAACAGTTGACGAAATCCTACGATTTTACCACTCAAATGAAAGCGCTCTGACAAAACTCTTTGAGAAAGGCGCTACTACCTTTAGCCAGAACTAGCCGGCCAAACCAGTCTAGTTGTGAACCGGGGGAACTCCACTATTTATCAGGAAACCGGTCGTTTCGATACTACACTACAAAACAGCCCGCATGTTTGCCTGGGTAAAGAACGTGCGAGAGCGGTCAAACGATAGGTCTGCGGGTGTGCGAGGCTCGCACGCTTCACGCCTTTGCCAAAAGGCAAAAAAAAAAACGGAAAAAAACGGACTGTTCAGCAGTGTATTTCGATACGAACTCAAGCAGTGAAACTGCACAACGATCTCGAACACTTAAAGTACAGTTTGCGCGTGAACAGAAAAAATATATGGGGTGAATATTCTTCGTTCTTTAAGCCAGGTAGCTGAAACTATTTACTCCTCGACCTAATCAACTTCCATCGAAACGACCGGTAAGCATTTATCAGGTCTGTCCAGATAGATCAGTCTTTTCCTAAATAGTGCGCTCAGCGGTGAGGGGTTTTAAGACAAAATTCTCGAAGACAAGGCTTTTTTTCAACTTACTTCAATTTCAAAATGACCGGTACGACTGGCTTCCAGTCAGTTCCAACTTTTGGTAGGCGCTTTTAGATTCACTGGCGAGTCTTCCAAATTCTAAGTTTTGTCAAGTTTAAGCTTAGAGTTCAACACGGGGTAAAGTTATTAGTTCTACATCTTTGTTCTTATAATTTATTCGGTTTTCTTCGCATCATTATTGACCTCTTCTCCTTCTTCCTTCTTTTCAGTTTCCTTGTGATCTTTTTCCGGATTATCTTCATACCTGAGGAGAAAAAACGAGATTAGCCGCTTTTTCCAAAAACAGAGCTGAAAATCAGCGATACAAGGAACACATTTCTGCGGCTTTAAGGGTTCATCTCTTTAAATAAAAGAGAAGTGTAATCATTCACTTTATATGATCTCTCAGGGTTGAAATGTAATATCTCGGTGAGAAATTGGATTTAGACTGTTCACTATCAACAACATATCAGATAAAAGTTGAAAATATGAAAGAACCCGATATCTCGATATCCCGTAACATGGAAGTACTACAGAAGAAGTTTTGCACTAATGGACACTTGTTCAAGACCCAAAAGTTAGAAGTTAGACACCGTTTGTGTGTGTAGTTACATGGTCCAACGTTGTTTATATAGCGTAGTTAGTAGAGAAGCCTGGTTATGAAAAACGGCAAAAATCAAAGGTGAAAACTATGGTGCTGCAAGGTCTAGGGCTCCCAGACGGGACACATTTTTGTTGTTGTTGTTCAAAAATATTTACTGAATAAATTAACGGCACGTTTCTGTTGGTCAGTTAGTTCAGAATGTTAGGAATGCTATTCACCATAGTGTAGGGTCAAGTCCAACAACACACCACAAAGGAGTATATCGGGCTTCATAACTAATGCGCTTAATAAACTACCATAAACTGCCGCTTTTAAGTAACAACAATAACAACAAAAATACATCCAAATATAAGACCCCATCTTGCTTGGATTGAAATGAATTTGATTTATCATGACGTTTTGAAGCTTAATTAAAAACCAGGAAAAGCAAAACGTATTTTGATGATTTTATCTGAAGCGCTCAATCTATTCCGGTTATGAGCCGATTGGATATAAGCCCTCCTAAACCCCTTACGAAGATATATGGGCCCAGGATTTATAGGCGGCAGTTTACAGTATTCCTGAGGAATGGATTTAAAGTACTTTCTAGCTTTAACTTACTTAAAGAGCTCCTTAAGCTCTCCTCTGATAAGAGCCAGTGTAATGGGAGTTCCCAGGCATGCAGGCACCAAATACAACAGGGCTGGTTGAGCAGCCTTGAAAGTGTGCATCACCAAAACAGTTACTACCAGGCCAACAAAATAGGCAATGAAACCAGAGTAGAAATACACTCGGCTTGTCTTGTCTTTCTTGCTACTGTCAACAAAGAAAACAGTAACTCAACAAGGGATTTTGCAATTACAGTTGAACTTAACAAAATAGGTTTTAAACAATACAATTCACTAGTTTCAATCCCCATACACTAAGTGGGGATAAGTGTGAATACTACACCATTGTAACCATAAAGATTCCAAGGCTGCAATACTTGTAGGAAGTCAACTGTGCAGTAATATGGCAATCCTAATAACCTTTAGCAGCTCAGATGAGAAAACCAAGTAAGATTTTTTATAAAATATATTTGAGGTCCAAAATGACATTTAAACTTAAAAACAGTGCTGATTGAAAAAGTAGGAAAATCTCTTTACCTGTGGTCAAACCGTAACAGAAGTGCGATAAAAATTCCTACAGAGCATCAGAAACAAGAGTTAGTACTGATAAACAATTGCTTTCTTTTTAAACATGCCTAACAAAATCAACAATTTTTGTACGCAAACTAGTATTTCACACTCGTTTGATTCAAAATGTTCGTTGTTTCCTAAATTATTCATAGTAGAAAAAAAAAATGTAGTTTAACCCGAGAATGGATTTTACCCACTAGGACATGCACTCTACAAACTCTTTCCATACATGAAAGAGCATTTCTCGAAATAATACTGAAAAGTAAGTTAACTTGTTGCTTGCTTTCTTTCTTTAATGCATGTTTATCTTATTATTTCCAATACCCACATACGTAGTTTAAAGAAATATTTTTTTTTTGGCTTATTATTTTGACTTTGAAGCTAAATTAAATTATAAAATTGTAGCGAGTTTTTAACCAATTTTTTAACAACGTGTCATTTTATCATTGGTTTACAGTCTTATATTCCTTTAGTGTAGACCTCAATATCATGCATTACCATATTTAAACACATGAAAGGAAAATGAAATGTGAACAAGTGATAGAATAGAACCATAAATTTCATTGTAGTACTGTACACATACAAATATTGACTTGAAAATAATCATATTCACCTGGTATAACAATATCCCCAAGCCCCAACATGGCAAAGTTGGATGCAGCCAGCCCCTTCTCAAGAAGATCCATTGGAAAAATCACTAAAATGTTATAAGTGAAAATAATATTAAGTCATTATGTGGAAAAGTAATTAACAGGGTAAAGGTCCTTATTTTACATTGGTAAATAGAGAGGAGATGTCGTTACGTCATGTTGCCATGGTAGCAAAATTTTTGGATGACAAAAAACCGATAAAGTCACTTAAAAGACTATTCAAACTATTTCAAACTTTACCAATCTTATTCACTTCCATTTAATTTGCCAAATCTTGGCAAAATTTTCTTTGGGAGCATATCTACTGTTATCTAAGTTTAGAAAAAGAAAGCGACAATTTTTGTGTTGTGTTCACCTACTCCATAAAGCGGGCTCGCCAGTAAAATTAGGAAGTTTCATGATAATTGATATTGTCCCACATTTGTGAACCTGTAAAAAGGCTTTATGAACCCCAACTTTTTATGAGGATTCAGGACAATCTGTTGAGTGTAGCATATGACCCAACGTGGCAGACAAGATACCTACACTTGATTGGTGCTTCAAAGGATTTGGCAACTGTAACCATAACATCTGTTCCAAAAACCTGAAATATGATATGAATTAAATAGAATTCAAAATCAATAAAACAAGCACAAATATTATCAGAATAAACAGAAAAAGACAAACTGTATTTGTAAACAGAACAGCTTATAAGTTAAAAGTTTAGGTTGTAGCAAAAAAGCCCCTTAGCAGTTCTGCGGTCTTGACAGTAGCCTACGAACAGCAGCGGAGGGAGAGAAGCGACGACTGGAAATGTGTCTGCTGTTCGCAGGCTATCTTGACAGCAGAATTATCTAATTAACGTGCTATAAATGTGAATTATTATTATTATTATTATTTATTTATTATTATTGTTTTGGAGAATTTGCAAGTTACTAATTATTGTGATAAATGTCTTGAATAATAATGAGAAAAAAAATAATGCTTATAACATCTTGGAAATTCATTTGGATCTTTTTTCCTTTTGCTTCCTATAAAAAAAGTTAGGGACCATAAACATAGTGGCAGGGGAAACTTCCAGTCCTTGGCCCTGCCCTTAGTGACAGCCATGTACCAGGGAATGTTAGTAGCATAGTGTGATATTCTTAGCACATAATCATGTTAAAATAGTGCGTTATCCATAGCTTAATGCAATTTATTACTAGCTTTTTCTTAAATATGGCCATATTCAGGATGTTTTCCCTTACTGTGCATAAAATGTTTTTTTTTTTTAAATTCAGTTGAACAGAAAAGAGCTCTAAACAAAGCATTTTGTGTTGTGGGAGATATACATGTACCTTGTATTGTGATGGGATCATGTCATACAGCTGCTGCATTCACTATTAACTAAAGGGTAAACAGTTTAAGGTACTTGCCCAAAAGATATCATAAACGAAGAGTCCTCCGAGAAGGATGCAGCCTGTTGAAACTGTGTTTAAATGAAGAAGCTCAACTCCATTGAGAGAAAATGCCAAACCAAATATGTTGTTGGCAATCCAATGCTACAGAGGGAACAACAAATACTGGTATTTCATAACAAATAGTGAAGTTACTCCTTTCCTTGACTGCAAAGAGCAACAAAACGAAAACCGTATACAAAGAAAATATGTACAATAATATACCATAGGTAGTAAGATTTCTCTTCCTTGTACATGTAAATGTAATTTAAGAAAACTCTTGCCACCTTTAAAACTACAGTAATCACACAAGTAAATGCAGTGATAGTTAGAATTAATGCATCTTTTTTAATCAAAAAGTCGTACATGTACATGTACACTGTAACTTGACTTGCTTGCTGAAATTAATCATTTGATCATCTCAGTTATATTCATTTGGGACAGTTGCCATTTTAGCTCCTGGTATCCATTGGTGAAGCAAGGACATTGGAATTCTAAAATTTGACAGCCAGTTTAATTTTAGTTCTTTCTGTCCCACATCTGAAACAAAGGAATTTTAGATGAGGAGATTTTGTTCATGCCCTACGGAACAGATGGTGTGATAAGGATTGATGATTATACACTTACAATAGAAACTGTACATGTGTGTATAGTGTCCTCATTAGGTGTCTTACTCTATATGAGAAGCCTAAAAGAAACAACTGCTTACCTTCTTCCATAAATACCATATTCCAAATGCAGACGAAACACCAAGACAGAGCAAGTCTATCCTGTCAAACTCATAGTTAACCAGTTCTGAAATCAAAATTAATAGTAATAGTTCTGTAATCAGAATCACACTCTAAAATGAAAGAACACTTTTTCAAACCACAATGTACCAAAATTGATACCTGTTTTCTTATCACCTTTACCCTCGGTAAGATCAAGGGTGTATGTCTTGTTTGGAAATGCCGCTGGTAGTAGAAGTTCAACATTTGGTCTGAAATTTAGATGTCAAATTTTATTTATAAAGTATACTGTTGTTCTACAGGTATTAGTTAAGGCTAAGAATGTGCTGTTACAAGTACATGCACAAAAAATAAATCAAGGTAGGTTACCACAAGTGTAGAGAAGGTGAATATCACCATTCCCAGGAACATTATCACCACAAAAACCACATCCCGGTACTACTCCAGCCTGAGAGAGATGTATAAAACTATAAAAAACAATTTACCTTAGCAAATGTGTCACTGCCAATACTCCAAGACCAAAGAAATAAACAGTAAGTAGAAGGTTGATGTATTCTTTGCTGAATAACTAATGGGAACAAAAGAAAAGAAAAGAAGCTGAGAGGGAAGGGTAGTTATGGTTTTCAGCAATGTAGTTGTTATTTATTTTTTTACTTGATGCTAACTTAACTACCCAGGCCCAGTTGTTGTTGGAATGTCAGTTCACACTAACCCAGGCTTAAATCTTAACCCGGGTTCCTTTTTCTTTTTATCATAAGCACTCTCGTGGACAATTTTGTCTATTCTTTTTAGAGTATCCAATCATCAAATTGTAGGCAAAGAGAATTAGACTGAATTTGCTTTTGAAGCTCTCATATCTGGGTCCAAATTTCGCACTAACCCTGGGTTATCTTAACCCAGCTTCGAACAACTTGGCTCAGTATTTAAACTCAGGTAACTAAGCAATTTGTTGCCATATTCTCTGCTTGTAGATAAGGAACTGACGGTGATGATGAACTACATGTACATGTATTATTATTGTCATGTTTGATGAATGCTACAAAAGATACAGATTATCAGGAATCTATAATCTGTACAAGTCAACTTACTTTAAAAAAGATGTAAAGACCCAACAGGGTACAACTGGCAATAATGGGGAACATGGCAGCATCCTTTGAAGTCATACTTTCTGGTTTCTCTCCATTTTTCTGTGAAAGTGCACAATCCAAATTTTAAGCACTGCAGATTAAGTACACGTAGCATGTTATGGACATGACATATTCTATACTTTTAGGTTACACTGTCTTAAAAGGCAGTAAAACAACCTCAACTGGGGCCACTCAATATGTAATCTGCTCACCACAGACATGATCAGAACAAAGGAGTCTGACCACGTCAGATGTTACGTCTCTTCTGTGTGGTCCACAAGCCGATTTATGGCCGTTTATGGGTTTTTATGTAAATGGTTTTCTCATTATATAAAGGTTTACCAAGGTTTGGCAATCCAGCGAAAAGGCCCAACTGAAACACCAAAGGAAACCTCCTGTAAATTTGCTTCAACTGCTCCAATTGCCTCCAAATTCGGCCTAGGTAACACACGATAGTTCTCCTTTCCATTTGTTATCTTGCTTCAAGACGCCTTTGCACTGAGAGCAAATCAAAGGTCGCAAATCTCTGCAACCATTCCCGTCTGAAGCCATTGACAGAACCTTGGCTTAAACTCCGCGTCACCGTTGAAAGATAGCGACACAGCCTGAGACTCAAATTACTCACACTCGGGGTGGGAGAGAGTCTCTTGCTCCCATTATTTTCTTTCTCGTTACAGAAACGATAGGTTTTTTCCCCATACAAATCCTTACATTTCGAAAGTTATATGCCGATGCTCATATTTTGAGCTTGGGCTACCTGTGATTAATATCAATGATATCGACTGATTTCTGATAACGACTGTCATTGATTAACTACGTTTGGCTCCTACCAGTTTATTGCCATGTTCTGTCCCACTTACTATAAGTTATTTGTTTCATTAGATTTTTCTAGGGAGTTTTTTTTACATAAGGCCAACCTACGAAGTTGTCTATAAATTTGTCTTAAGAGGGAAAATCTCCCATAAAATCAAATGAGAAAATAAAAGAAAAAACTGTTGGGGAATACGAAGAGGAATACACGTGTAAGCTTAATGTATCAAGCAAAACTTAAAGCGGATGAGAGTGAATTACTTTGAAAACCTTCAACTTGGCAGTGTCATTAAAATTAACTCAGTACTATGATCAACACCGCCAATGGTTACAATACACTCCTCAATTTTCAAAAGGTCATGAACAAATGGGCCACAGACTTCGATACACGTAAGCTTTAAGCTTAATTTAAACGAAATTTAAATGATCTTAAGCTGAAAAAATAAGTTCAAGAAACGTTCCATTTGCAGTGAAATCAAACACCTTAGACGGCAGAAGTACTTTGAAAATAACTATATAAAATCCTGTCTAAAAACATCAGCTGTTGAAAAATCAATGAGAAAAATTCGTGAACAACTAACCTTCTGTTCGATCAGACACTTCACAGAGCGGAATGATCCGAAAAATATTGGTAAAAGCGCCATTAAAACCAAACTAGAATACGCCACAAACAATCCTTCAGGAGTTGCCGCTGCTCTGCCAGTTACATTTTTTGCAGTTTCGTTTACAGTAGCCGAGAGATTCGCCACTGTCTCATTCACAACTGATTCCGCCATCTTTACTGAAAGAGAGAGATCTTTTGTTTGAAGGCAACCGGCCATCCCATAGTTCCTATAGTGCGTGGTCGTCACCTGTTTCCTCTCCAATGATCGAAACACACGTCAACTTTACCGCCTCTTTACTTCCGTTTCAGCTGCGCTAAATTTGCAAAAATATATTCTGTATTCTGTTTAATATTTAGCTCTGCCCATTTGATTTTCTCGTCATATATATCGGCGGGGAGGGAAACCACGAATGGGACCACTCCGATCACAACCCTCTGGTATGGTGGTTAATATGCAACCCTGGCGTAATAAAATAATAATTAATAAAAAAATTAGACATAGCAGTTACCTCACATAAAGAAATGCCTTCATTATACATCCTAGAACTGGTGAAATATAGATAAAAATTTAACGCATGTAGAGGAAAGCGAGACCAAGAAGACATCTCCAGTACGAACATTGATGGGAGTGTGGCAATGCGCTCCCCTTCGGTACGAAGGTGCTTACTACAACTTTATGTGCCATTTTGAGGAGAGACAACCCTCGCCCTTCTATCTGCTTTCGACATGTTGGCGATACTTTCACCTTTCAACAACAACAACGCAGCATGTTTAACTCTTGTCGCTTTAACTATACAAAATTGAAAGAAACAGTGATCGCTGACGTTGGAGATGATGCGACCGCTGACGAGCGTTTTGACTGTCAGCCATGTAAACAACAATAGGGACTTTACGATCCAACGACGCGACGTCAACTATAGCCTGAATTTCATCCGATTACTTCGAATCATCATTACTCCCTCAACTAGAACGTTGCATAAAAAGTGAATTTGGATTCTTTCAGTCTTTATCGCAATTATTCCTACCCACTTTGTCAAATGTAGGCGAACCCGCCTGGAATTGAATTCCTAGGGACCATATCCAGGTTCAAAAAGAGAAATAATATTTCGTCGTTCCTGGTTTACGCGAAATAAGTCATTTTAACGTCGTAGTCGTGCAAAAACGGGCAAAGAAGTGTACAAAAAAGCGTGATGCACGTGCAAAGTTGTTGTTTTGCTTATAAAACCTATTTTTTGACATTCTCGTTGCCCCGCGTCCGCGTTGGATCTTAGGGCCTGTTTACATGGAGGTGGGGGACCACAGGTAGGTGAGGTAACATTTGGCGGGTCACCCCACCTGTCATGTAAACTTGATCAAATTAAAATAAGAGATTATATGGACAGGCGGGTTACCCCACCTAAGCGGGTTACCTCACCTCCCTGGGGTTCCCCACCTCCATGTAAACAGGCTCTTAAAAGTCCCTAATATTGTCAATCAGCGTGGCTAAGTGGGAGAGGGCTTACCAACCGTTAAAACAAGATAGCATCTTTGCAAAGACAATAAGAAATCCTGACTAATAATCGGAGAGAGAGTCTAAAATACGACGCGTATTTAAGTTTTTTTGACCAACTTCGTTCACTTTACAAACCTGTTTTGTGTTGAATTTTTACCTTTGCCTTTCTTCTTTATAAGGAGTTTTTTTGCTTTGTTTACCTACATCCTTTTGCATGAAATTGTGGCTGGCTAATGACCACTTGAATTCTTGCCATCCGAATTCAACCCTTTCCCGGCCAGATCCCTTTCAAACGTCTGACAAGCCTTGGACAGAGGCGAGCCAAATGGCCAAAGGGGAGCTGGGGGAAGGTGTTTTAATATTTCTTTTCCAAAGCAGTTAACTGGCATCACAAAGCACCACAACGAAATTAGCAAAAAAATTCTGCATGTTAGTAATAACAAGAGAGAGACTCGTTGAAGGTTCAGGTACTTTTAATTTTGATGGCATTTCTCCATTTAATAATTTTTGATGTACAATTTAAATCATTTGAACGAACACTATAATAGTTAGCTGGCTACTTATACACCAATCTATTAATCTTCGATAGCGTTTCAGTTGTTTTTTGCGAGTGCGAAAGTCGACCAAATCGCAAACTGGCCGCCGACTTTTTTGCTCCCAAGAAATGCCGATCGTAGATCAACAACCCTATCAGTTCCATCCACTGTAAACGAATAAATTAAGACTGTACAATACTAGGGGCGTTTACCATTTGTCAGAACTGGCTGTCCACATCAGATAAGTCGCAAGGAGAACTCTGGACTATCCGGCCAGATCAGTTAATTCCTAAATAGTATGCAAGGCAGTGATGGGTTTCAGTGAAAATTTCGAGTAAACACTAATATTTCATTATAAAAATGACCAGCCGTCTGGCCGGCCAGTTCTGACTTTTGGAAAGCGCTCTAAGTTTCATTGATCTGTCTGAATAAATACTCAGTTTATATACATAGCAAAGTGTCAAAGCACAAAAAATTATGGGCTAGTATTGAATATTTTGTTATACCTCCTAATTACAACTCGAAAATGAAACCAATTAGTTGCTCTTAGCAAAGAGACGACGACGTCATCATTACTCGCAAGCGTCGGCGCCATTTAACCAGGGTTCATACAAAAAATTGCAACCATTTTTCTAGGACTTTTCAAGGACCACATTAGATTTTCAAGGACCATCTACTAGGAATATAATTTCACAGATTGTACAAAAATGCACATTCCCAGTCCATTCTAATAAGACTTCAAGGCTTGAACTGTTTGCTTCACCAACTTCTCTAAATTTTCCAGTTCACTTGTCTAAAATCGATAGTTATATTATACCTTTAAATTCTCTGAGCTATGATTTATATTCTGTCTTGGACAACCAAAAAGCATCAAAAAACTCTTTCCAGGCTAATACATTAAAAGTTGAAGAAAATTCAAGGACTTTTCAAGGACTTGCACAGAAATTTAAGGCCTTTTCAAGGACTTCTCTTAAAATTCAAGGACTTTTCAAGCCTGTGCGAGCCCTGTTAACGATAACTCGACCAGACATGAACATGACTCTACGACCAGGTCACGTTCATTTCTACATGGCTACAATCGTAAAAAAAAAGAATCAAGGTCAAACGTAACCTGTGTTACTAAGTGATAAACGCAGTATAAAAACGCGTTAAAACCTGATTCACCTTTATACATAACGATATATAACTAAAATACGACAAAATAAAAATCAAGTTATATATACCTGCTGAACTTATGGTCTTACTAGAAAGTATTAACAGTATACTTCCAGCTGTTAGTTGCCGAGAAAATATACCATCAAGGCAATTCATTGGTCTTGCTAAACGTAAATAACGTTCTTAAAAAAATAAAATGAAATCACTTCCGTTCGCCAGAAGCGATGCCAAACACAGTCTCAATATCCAGACAAGTTTTCCAAATCATTTCTCGCTGTTTGCATATCGGATTAAGCACTCCACTCATTTTCTAGATAAATCAGAGTCCCCGTTATTTATATCATTGAGTCTGTATAGTAGACCAAGATACAGTAAAACCCGGCGAACTAAGAACATGGTTTTTGAGAACCTGTTTGAAACAGGTTCTTATTATCTAAAATTTATAAAAAAAACATATAATAATAATAATAATAATAATAATAATAATAATAATAATAATAATAATAATAATAATAATAATAATAATAATAATAATAATAATTCTGTACACTAAGGCAAAAGGACTTCAAAATTCATGTGGTCAGTGCTTCAGTCCTTATTCTCAGAGTCGTTTTTATGTATAAAATACTTATTTTGTATGCAGATTTTATATGACGAAAAAGCTGCATACCACCAAATACTCAAAGCTATCCCACTTTTTTTTCTCGCCAGAAAATAAGAACCTACCTAAGAACCTAAATAACCTAAATTTGTGCTATCTGTTAGAACCTGTTTAGGCTAACTTGGAAAAATGCAAGTTCTTAGTCAGGGTTTTTTACTGTACTGCATTGCCACTCTCTTGACTCTATCCCTAATTAAAAAAATAGAAATTGCCGTTTTTCTCAACTCTGAGAATAGTCTCTGGTGATGGTAAAACGCTTTGCAGTGCTTTGCTGTAGTGGGCATACTTAGCGCTCAGGCGTTGACTTCAGTTATGTATTTGACCAGGGAAAAGTTATATGATAAATTCATGGTTTGAAATCAGATTGGTTATAGCTGTATAGCCTTTTCTTACTGGAAAGAGGCTTGCGATGCTCGAATGAAAACTGCCTTGAAGGTCTAAAGCAATCATTTACTTTCACTGAGAGGATCAAACCGGATGAACTAAATCTATTACATTAAGTATGTACGGAAGTAAACTGTCTCTAATTATCATCTCGTAAGACACGCCTCAGCTTATTTACAAGCCAAGGCAATTTCTGTATTTACAGAAAACGTTTTTTTTTTGTTTTTTCTCCTACATTTCACCAGAAATAAAAAATAATTCTCCAGAAAATCAGGTTTCATATTCGAGGTTGGCGGACGGAGAACATCTTAACTTGTAACCAGGCTCCAGCGGTTGGGAACAAAACAAGCGAGGCACGCCGAACAAAAAGGGGCGGAGAGGGGAGGGGAGGGGAGGATTCAGCCCACCCACCCACCTACCCTCACTTTCCCTAACCTCCCTTCATTCTCGATGACTTTCACTTCAGCTTATCTTTAATCTACCAAAAAAAGAGCCTGATCACAGGATTGGAATGTCGACCTTCTTCTTACAGACAAATCTAATATAATTTCTATTGTCAAGAAATATAGGCATTTTAAGATATATGTTAAAATCGTGAAACTCCTCTTATAGACAGTTGCACACTAAACTGAACCACACCCTTGGAAACGCGTTTTCTCTCTCTCTCTCCCTCTGATGCGGACAACAGCATCGAGCTCAATAAATAAATATTTCAATAAATAACTCAATACATAAATAATTAAGGACTGGTACATTTTTACATTGACTTTAGGGACGGACCACTAGAAAAGTTATGGGGGGAGTGGGGAATTTTTGAGCCGCAGGAATTTTTTTTCGTCATCAAATTCCTTGTACGAATATTTTTTTAGGCCGTCGCATGAATATTTTTAGGGTTAATTAGCATGCATGAACTTTTTTTCATTTAATTTTCCCCTGCGCGAATA